CCCCCCCCACCCCCATCACATGCAAAAACGTGAGCGGGTGAGAGCCTCGGGGAAAGTGCCACTCAGACGCACACCGGGGCCTTGTACCGAGAAGATGCCCAAGGACCGATTGGATTGCTGAATGCAAATAGGTAGCACACATATGAACACAACTAAGTGTTTAACATCCGGGTCTCGCTTTGCCACTTCTCCTGTGCGATTACACAGGGTATGATGTCCGCAAGTGATTAAGACTTACCATCAGACTGTTCTTTCTGTCTGATGCTCGAGAGTCTTGAGCCCGCAATGATGAGCGATCGACCAAGACTGAGATGCAGAGGTAGAAGTAAAACTGACATATCTTCAAGCTATGACTTTGGTAAATATAGAAGTACTGATTACACTCATATACTTCAGTAGAGTAATGACGTATTTGGACTATGTTACATCCTACAACTGGTGAGAACGAGTAATTTGACCCAACATGGCACACATACAAAAACTCCCATTCGCCTACAATGTAGCTTTCTATTGCGTTGTAAAGAGTAAAGAAAAAGAGCATGCCGCGCATGGCCTCGCCGAGGTGTGATTGGGTTGCGTTAGCCACCTGGGCCTTCTCCCAATGAGACCAGTAATAAGGGCAGCACTTATCAGGTGTTGCCTCCAGCCACCACACACAAACACACTTGCACACGCACAAGCACCTACAGATAGCGGCATGCTGGGAGGAAAAGGGGAGGGGAGAGGGCAAGGCGAGGGCCCACCACAGTCAAGCTGTAATTAATCACCATGGAGCAGAGAGCTGTCAAATCCCCAGCTCTTGTGAACTGATAATGCTCCGGCACAATCGAGTCCAATGGAGATGAGATTTCCCCCCCACCTCTGGTGATGAAAATAAAAGGAGAGGAGGAAGAGGAGAGCATACATATTTGTGATCTTGAACAGAGCATTCTTTTTCAAGCTGAGTGTCTTGATCAATACTTTTCCTCTGCAGCAGTTTTTTTTTTTTTTTTAGATTGACTTGTTCCCTCCATTTGTTATTAAAGCCCCATCACGCACGTTGCATCAACAGCCCAGACAAATGCAATAAGTCGTCTGATATTAAAGTCACATTCACAGTCGTTCAACAGCTAAATGCATCAATAGTAACAGCTGCACAGCATTATGTAACAAATAAAGGTGACACAAAATTACATTTGCCCAATACGCTTCAGTCAATAACAGACTGCAATACAGTCGTACCATTGCTTTCATTTTGGTTGTTTGGTTTTTTTTTTTCCATTTCATTTGGCTCAATCAGACTATTGAGTATTGAGCAGCTTTTTGTGACCAAGTACTTTGATTCGGATTTTCTGTGACTGGCATTGAGCTGTTTGACAACATGAAGCCCTGAGTGAAGCCATATGTTAGCTTATCGTGCTAGCCATTGACCGGCTAATTGCCATGTGTGTGTGTTATGTTTTTTTTTTTTTAATTACTGGGTGAATTATTATATATATATATATTTTTTTTTTAATAATGACTGCTGACTCAATATGACTTTTGGCCTATTTTGACTTTTTATGAACAAGGGGGCCTCTATTATTTTCTCGGAGAAACACCTTTTATTTCATTATGTCAAATAATTTTTAAAAATCAAATGTAAACAAAAGAAAACATGGATTTCTAAGCCTGGATTTCTGGTTTATTATAATCACAACAAGAAAAAAGGTGTATTATATTATCATCATATGTGTGAATGCGCTTGCCAATTAAGTGAAGCCCAAATATGCAATTTCATCCCAAGAGTGACTCTGTTTGATGTCTATCTTTTTTGTGTTTATTTTGGCTTGAACACTGCTTTTCCTAAAAGTCAAAGTGTTCTGCCAGTGCTGGAGTTCATGACCTCTTCCACGGGTGTGTTTTGCCACTCAGGGCGCTAAGCATTGGCTTTAGGGGTGGAGGGGAAAAAAAAAAAAGTCAGGCTATAGACACGCCGCCTGCCAGACAGACTTTGGAATGTTTTCTTACACGCTTTTAAACAAGGCTTTATTGGCAGATTGTGTGTCAGGAACAAATAAGCATGATGGGCCCTCCAGAATGTGTGCTTGATAAGAGGAACAAGGCATCCACAATTCGAGGAAAGGCCAGGGGCAGAGATGAAAGAAATGCTTTGGACCCGGTCTGGGTCCTTATCGGTCTGACTGTGGCACACTGGCCCAGTTAAACAAATTCTACTGCATGTGTCTGGTGCTGTTGTCTATCAAGACCAGCATAAGCTTGGAGTTTTGTAATATTTTCTGCTTGAAATCAATGTAATGTAATTTTCTCCCTGGACTTATAGTTATGATAATTGTCTACAGCAGTGATTCCTAACCAGGGCAGCATGGCATACTCTTGTACTGTCAGGGCACAGGAGTGCCGTGGGAAATTATCAAATTTCACTTAATGTGTCTTGAAATGATTATTTGTAAATTATAGATGTTTGACAATCAAAAACTAAATCCAACTTTAATCCACAAAACCACTTCAAATTGACCCAGGACTCTTTTTGATACCCGACCTTAGGTTTGATCCACCCTGTTTGTGCTCAGCACTGTATAACAGGATGCTAACTGGATATACACACACGGTACAGTATTTACAGCATGATAAAGACAAATAGCCGGCACACAGTTTGACGTCATCGTTTCCCCCTCCAGAGTCAAATTAGCATGTTAACACTGACAGCGACGCTCGTTCTTTCTTTTTGTCCTAAGCCCGCTCTCTTTGGAGGCTCGCCAGGCTGCCTCTTTATTGCTGTGACATATAGTCAATACTCAATATAGTTCTCCACAGCCCCCGGGCACACCGACAGTCGCTTGTGTATAAAGAGTGTCAGCGAGTTATTCTGACCTCCTACTGTAATCATGACCTTTCCAATAACTCCGCTTCCCCCGTTGAGCCCCGTTCTCCCCCCGAAGGCTCCTCAGACTAAACTGCTTTATTCCCAGCCCGCATTCACTGCTCAGCAGCGACTGTTGACACACACACACACACGTGTATGAAAGCAGGGCATGCGCGTGCACACACAAACCAGTCATGCCATGATTATATTCTATGAAAAAGAAATCGATCAAATATGATTGCATCGCAAAGATATTATTGCTCACTTTTATTTGACATCGTCAAAGTGGTAGCAATTAAGCAATACAGTATGATTATTGTTGTGGCTGTCCTTTGCAATTATCTACAACTGTTATCTATCATAATGTGAACTGTTCCTAGTATTTTGGAATTTCTCATGACATTGTAAATTTCCCCAGTGTGGGACAAATAAAGGATATCTTATGTCACTACTTGAGGTAAGCACACTGTTACATCATGTTTTAGTGATGCAGATGACTGCAAACTACAAATTTGCAAGTGCTTACATTGAGGCCGGTGGGTGTATATCCATAGTTTTTTGGTCATAAGACTAGCACTTGAGACTTCAGCGCAGTGACAATTTAAAGTACTGTATCAAGTTGACGCCACGCCAGGGTAAGTACCAGTGACGGCAAAGAGGAAAAACATGACCAGAGGTATGGATATGGATATGCTGTGAGGCAGACATGCTCACCATATTACCGCCGTGCAGTTCAGAATTTAAGATATACTGTAAAATCTGCTGTCGTTCAACACAATACACTTAAACTCCAGAAACAGAAGTTCCTCCATTGTATACTGTCGACCGAACACCCCCTTCCCCACCACATCAAGAAAAACAAAAACAAAAACAGGTATTGACAGTAATTGTTTCAGTTCATAGACATTGGTATCATAATTAACTGAATTGAATGTTGATAACCAAGACAACAAAACCTACCGAAGCACTGAAACGGACCTGATCTAAAAGAAAGACGCCATTTTGTTGTGTTTTTTTAGTAATAACCGGTTACGTTCCAGTATAGTTCTTTATTAATTATTTAAACTTCATTTTTAAATGACACTCATTGCAATATGTTGTTGCTATTGTTTGATATTATTGTAAATACAAATAAATGATGCCTCATCCCACTCCAGGATTCGACGTATTTACTTGCGTACACTCCCCTAGAAACAACCACATAAATGTCTAACTGTCACGCCGACAAGGCTTGCGTACTGTATTCCACCGAAAAGGGAAGAGGACACATGTAAGCGGCGATATCAGGCGCAAATGAAAGGGAAAATGATATGGCATGCATTTCATTCTTTTGTAAGATTGCGTCCTCGGGTCATT